CAGGGCCGTGGGCTCCTCCCACCTTCCCTTCCCGTGGTCGAGCACTAGTCCTGGGCCTGGCTGCTTCCCATCCATCTGGTACCCTGCTGCCCCCTCATTTGACCCTAGCGTAGGCAGTGCTTGCCTCTCCTGCCCCACTTGATTGCACGGATAATGTCGGCTGTAGCTCTTCTTATTCACTGGTGCTGGCGTTCGCCCAGGCTCCAGTATATCGCTCAGCTTCCGCCCCCCTGCTCTCCGTACCCCCTCTATCTCCTTCTGCAGGTCTTCCGCTGGCACCACATTCTGCCAGTACATCCTGAGCCTGTGTGCGTAAGCTCCCATCCGTGTCGCGTCGCAGCTCACTCCCTTTCCCACCTGTCTGGTCACTCGCTCCCTTACTACTCGTATGGGCTCGCGCACATCTCCTTCCATGTCTAAATGCTCCAGCAGGTAGGCCACCCTGCTTTGTCGAGCCTGCACCCACTCCAGAATTTTGAACAAGTCCTCCATCAGTTGTGTCCGTAGGTCTTGCTCACCCTTGCCCTTCCCTGCCCATGATACCCCTTGGCATTCCCATCCCGCCACCAACAAGTCCACGTGCCCCCAGCTCGCCACCTCAGCCTCTGTGATGGCCCGTACATCGTGCACTCCTCTACTCATTGCTGCCTTGATCACTTCTTCCTTCAACAGCTCCGGGAACTCGCGGTGCAGCTGCCATGCGTGATGTTCCGCCATTTTCCTTGCTTCTGCCGCCTTCTCTACGTAAATCCACTGCTTCACTACGATCCCGTTCCGCACCACTGCTGCCAACCCCGCCCCTATACCCCCAAATAGTTCCACCAGGCGGATAGGTTGCTGCCAATCAGTCTGCTGGCTAGGCTCGTCCATGAAGCGCATCCTCAGCTCTCTGCCCTGTCCCTTGCTTGTCGTGCTCTCCTGTGCCCCCTGCTTCACTGTCATTTCCTTCAGATCCGCCCTGTAGGCCCGCTTCGGCTCTGTCTTGACGAACTGCACCGGCAGCTGTCCCAGTGGCTCACCCTTCCTCCACCACCTGGTCCTGAATTCCACCGTCTCCCTCCAGAAGCAGATGGTCATGCCCAGTGCAAAGATCATCTCCGTGCCCACCAAAACGTCGAAATCTTCAGATTCTGAGATCCCGCACCTGATCCTGACCGGCGTTTCGTGCTTCTCTCCTTTGAGCACCGTCAGCTCAATTGGAGTCCTTGTACATGGCATCCACTTTGACTCTCCTCCCTCTGATGTCATCACCAGCATCCCCTTCACTACATGTCTGTCCGGTGCCCACAGTCCCAGCTTCTCGGCCATCCCCTTCCCTAATATCACGCTCTGCGCGCCAGTGTCTATGATAGCCGTCTTGGCCTTCTCCCCTTCCACCGACAGCGCGCCTCCTTGTATCAGCAGCACGGAAGTCTGGCACGACAGCCGCTCCTGAGGGTGCCGTGCTGCTGTGCACCTCTCTTCTTTCGCTTCCGGTTTCTGTCCTTTCTCTCGTTCCTTCCTCACCTGCTCCTTCCGTGCATCCCTTCCCCCGCTGCGCAGCCCCATCTCCTCCCTTCCTCTCCATGCCATGTATGCTGGCTGCTCCTCGTGTTCCACCTCATCCTCCGCTCTTCCTGCCCAGCTCATGAATGCAGCTTCTTCATCCTGCTCTACATCCTCCTCCTTTTCTTTCTTAGCGTACATCCCCGCTTCTGCCTCGCGTCGTGGTCCCATTGCCTGCAGCTGAGCCTGTAGCTTGCCAATCTGCCTTTCCAGGTCCTCTGGTGTCCTCCTCGCTGCTCCCTCCCGCTGATAACACTCCCTCGTTGCATGCCCTCCCTTCCCACAGATGTCACACTTTGGCGCCGTTGGGCATTCCCGCCGCCGGTGTCCGGGCTTACCACAGGAGTCGCAGTTCTTGCAGTCTCTGCGCAAGTGCCCTGGCTGCCCGCATCGGTGGCACGTCCGTGTGTCAGTCCTGTTATCCCCTCTTCCCCCTCCTCTTTCCTTTTCTTCTGGTATCATGGCTGCGGCCCACGTAGGTCCTCTGCCTCGCTCCACTGGGCGTTGCCGGTAGGCTTCGAGCTTCCTCTGGGCCATCTCCATCTTCTCTGCTAGCTCGAATACTTCATCAAGCGTCACGTCAGCCCCCCTCTCGTACACTTTCAGCCGCAGCCCGCTTCCCAAAGTACCCTCCAGGCCGTCCAGAAACTTACTCACGAGCAGGGCCGTGTCCGCGCAACTCACATCCTCTGCCAGGTTAACCAATCGGTTGTAGTAGGTGAGTAGTGACTCGCCCCGCCCCTTCCTGAAGTCCTGAAACTCTCTTTTCTTCTCCGCGGTGTGGCCTGGGAACTGCCGTTTCAGCCATCTTAGGAATGCCTCCGTGGGGTCTTCCCCATACCTCCCTGCCTTCTCCAACAGCTCATCCATCTTCATCCTGTACAATGTCTCTGCCTCCCCTTCCAGTGTGTTCGGCAGGCTCAGGAAAAAGTCTACTGAGTCCATGCCGCTCCTGTCACATCGGTACCGCACATTGCCCACTTGCATGAGGTAGTTCTTCAGCGTGGGCCCCGTGTGCTGATCTCCTGAGAAGCGTGTAGGCACCTCCACCCTCATGCCCACGGCCGTGCCTCCCCTTCCTTCTCCCCATGCCTCGCTCGGCCCTCCCACCGATCTCCCTGATGCTCCCCTTCCTTTTGCCCGCTGTAGGCCCTCCCTTGCTTCCTTGGCTCGCTCCAGGCTGTGCACCAGCCCACTGCTTTCTTCTCTATCGCCATGTTGCTCCCGCCCTCCCTGTCCGGCACATCTTCCGTCGTGCTGCCAATACCGGCCAGGCGATCGAGACCCACCACCGCGCCTCCCATCCCTGCTCTGCCGCCGATGCGGTGAGCGATATCCGCCTCCCCGGCTTTCCCCATGACGCAGGCGCCAGTTGGGCGAGTGCGCCTTGTCTCCCCACTTCTCTCCACGGTACCGTTGCATGTCCGGCGAGCGATTGCCTCCTCCGCGTCTCTCATCACGCGAGTAACGAGGCTCTGGCGAGCGTGAATCCCCTCTGCTTCTCCCGTCGCGATTTCTCCGCGGATCTAGTGAGTGCGTGCTGCCCCCGCGCCCACTGTCCCGGTGTTGCCTCGAATCTGGCGAGTGGTATCCACTTCCGTGTCTCCTCTCATGCAGCGGCCACGGATCTCGCGAGCGCATGCCGTCGCCGCGTCCCCCATCACGAGTGCGCCGCGGATCTGGCGAGCGCACGCCGTCGCCGCGTCCCCCATCACGAGTGCGCCGCGGATCTGGCGAGCGCACGCCGTCGCCGCTTCCCCCATCACGAGTGCGTCGCGGATCTGGCGAGCGCACACCATCGCCGCGTCCCCCATCACGAGTGCGCCGCGGATCTGTCGAGCGCATGCCGTCGCCGCGTCCCCCATCACGAGTGCGCCGCGGATCTGGCGAGCGCACGCCGTCGCCGCGTCCCCCATCACGAGTGCGCCGCGGATCTGGCGAGCGCATGCCGTCGCCGCGCCCCCCATCACAAGTGCGCCGGTGATCTGGCGAGCGCACGCCGTCGCCGCATCCCGCGTCGCATTGCTGACGCAAATCTGGAGAGCGCGAGCTGCTGCTACGCCTCTCGCTGCCACGCTCCTCTCCGTTGCGCGGCGGGTTTCGAGCACCACTCGTTCCGTCCGCCTCCACCGCGCTTGTCTCTGCCGCCACGCTCGCCTGCGCGAGATCTGCTTCTGTTGCTTCTGCAGGCACGTCGCGCTGCTTGCTCACGTCCTCCTTCCAGCCGTCGGCGCCGTTCTCCGCCGCATCGCCGTGCTCGGACTCCTGCGAGGTGTCCGCCGCGTCGCTTTCTTCTACTCCGCCAGCGTTGAGGTCTCCCTCTCGGCCCGAAAACAGTCCTTCCAAGCCTCGCCCGCGCCTCCGATCTTCGCGACGGCGATAACTTGCATCCGGCGAGCGATACGCTCCCGTCTCCTGGCGATATCCCAGATCGCCACCCCCATGGCGCGTTTCCGTCCGCCACGGATCACTCCTCACCATGGCCGATTCCGATCCGCCGGCTCTTCCTAGTGCAGATCCTTCCTCTCGGCGTTCATGCCCGAGAGGCACCTGATCCGCCCGAAAGGCAGGCCTTCGCGGCGATCGATCTGGCCTCCGCGGAGACCGCTCCAGCGACCGCCCACGCTCGCGGGAGTGTCCGCGCCGTGAGCGATCCTGCTCATGCCGACTATACGTCCGGCCATAACGCACGTCGTACCCGTCCATGCTTGCACGCACGCAGAATGCTTTCCGTTTGTTATGAAAGTGACGAGACTCTCACCTCAAAGGTCCTCCCTGAGTGGGTGTCACCAAACGCAAGGCTAGAGGTAACCAGAATCCACTATACGAAAGGATAACAAACGGAAAGCATTGTGTGTGTGTGTGAGAGTGAACTTACCTGTCCCTAGCTCGAGCCGTGCATTTCTCAATGTGCGGCTCGGGCCTGGGTGGGTTTGTTCCCATTGGTCGCGAGGATTTCACCCCTTGGTGATCTCCTACCGACTCCGCGTCAATTTCCCAGCCCCCCACCTACTTATCCTTGAGGCTGCATACACCAAATACAACACATCACTACACCCGTCCTACACCTTAATCATACTGGCACCTTATATACACAACCGTGCATATTCGGTGACAAAGAAGGGTTCAATAAAGAGCAAAGGTACAAAGATATGGGCAAGAACTAGGGTAATGAGGTGCACCACCAAACGGGAAACATAACTACACTAACACTACAGACAATTATATAAATATGAATAACATATTTCGACACACCCCCATAATTGTTTGCAGGTGTGAGTGTAGTAACGCCCCCTAAAGAGGGTACACCATGCAGAGTGCAGCTGAAGTAGCAGCAGTAGGCAGGAGCAGTGACAACCATTGCAGAAAACAGAGAACAGAAGGGAGAGAGGAGAGAGAGAGGGAGAGAGAGGAGAGGAGGTGGTAGACTCTGGTTGGTCACCCCCTACATCCCCTCACCCTCCCCCTCCCCCTCCCCCCCACACTGCTGCAGGAGCAGCAGAGGGGGGGCGAACGGAGGAGGATGGGAAGGGGAGACCACACATCACCCATCATCCCCACACCTGCCACCCCCAGTCCCTCTCCGGGCTCCCCCACACCCTCACACCCTCCCCCCCAGCGGCAGCTGCAGCAGAGGGAGCAAAAGGAGGAGGAGAGGGGAGGGGGGGGGGGGGGGGGGGGGCGACGCACGGCCTCCCCGGGCGCCAAAGCAGGCGGCAGAGGGGGCGACGCCTGCCCCCCCCTTCCAGGTCGCCGCGGCCCCCTCAGGTCGCCTCGACAGGTGACGGGAAAAGGGGGGGGGGGGCGGTGCACGTGCCCCCGGTGTGCCGCAGCTGGCGACGGGGCATGGCCGGGGCGGGGTCGGGGCCGCAAGTGGGCGGGGCCATAGGTAGGCGACGGGGCCGCAGGTGAGGGCGGCGGGGCCGCAACCGAGGGCGGCGACGGGCCGCAAGTGAGGGTGGCGACGGGGCCGAAGCTGAGGGCGGCGTTGGGGCCGCAGGTGAGGGCGGCGACGAGCCGCAGGTGAGGGCGGCGACGGGCCGCAGGTGAGGGCGGCGACGGGGCCGCAGATGAGGGCGGCGACGGGCCGCAAGTGAGGGCGGCGACGGGGCCGCAGCTGAGGGCGGCGGGGCCGCAGCGAAGGGCGACGGGGCCGCAGTGAAGGGCAGCGGGAGGGCCGCGAAGGGGCCGCGAGGGGCCAGAAAGGGCGGCAACGGGGCCGCTAAGAAAAAAAGGATAAGGGGCACGCCACGGGGCGTGCCGAACACAGAGTAGCAGCGGAAGCTTTAGGGTGGGCCCACAGGTCAGGATCTTGGTCGCTCTGATACCATGTGAAAGATCTAGCAAGGCTAAGGAGCCATAGCTAGTAGGTCGAGTGAATTGAGTATCGAGCAAGTTGAAAAGTCGAGAGTGAAGAAGGGTTCAATAAAGAGCAAAGGTACAAAGATATAGGCAAGAACTAGGGTAATGAGGTGCACCACCAAACGGGAAACATAACTACACTAACACTACAGACAATTATATAAATATGAATAACATATTTTGACAGGTTGCTACTTTTATCCCTATGTATGTTCATTCGCTGTCTCACTAACATTATGATGTACCATTTCATACTGTTTTAAAGTTATGTACGGTATTTCACATTTCCCATAAAGGGAATATGGGAAAGTAGTTTTACCATGGATTCGGCTAAACATTGTTGTGGTGCTAAACATTGTGGTGTTTCTTCTGAATTGCATCTGGAAGCAGTTTTTCTATTTGCAAAACTGTAGCATATAACAAGAGCAGCTTTTACACGGTCAATACCGATCACCTGCATGCCTGCCAACACTGCAGCTCCTCAATTGAGTTGACCGAGGATTCCTCCGCATCCTCACCTCACTGAGCTTTTTCCGTTTCTGCTTCCTACTGATTACCTCTACCATGGATTGAATCCTTACCTCACCAATCACGACCTTGCTCCTCTGTTCCCGTCACGCGAGTCACTTCGATCCAGCCTGGAACGACCCCGGTTCCGAAGCGCGCATTCCCAGCTGTGACGCGAGGAGCCTAGAAAGGTAATGGTTCAATGTAAGCATCAACTACGTTTTCTCGACGTTGCCATTCGTCCTCAACGATCGTACCCTTTTCAGGTCATTCCGTCCTCAGTCAAGGCTACCTCCCTGCTGTAGTATTTTAGCAGCCAGTAGCTTGTCCCGATCACTCACGCCTCTTGAGTTCTTCGCCATCCTCGAGTCACCGTGGGCTCCTGTGGCTTGCTATTCCCGCTGCTCTGCGTCCTTGCTTTTCTTCCGTTTAGCTATGGCTCCGTGCAGGAAGGTTCAGTATTCACGTTCAAGCTTCGCCATCAGCACACAGTTTCAGCAGATAACCGGCCTATGACCTTCGGCTCTTACAAACAGTGGCTGGAAAAGCAGACGCAATCACGAGCAGCGGTTATTTTGAGACGCATTCGCAAGGTGCTGATGCCTACCTGGCACGCTCCATCCTTCAACAGTATCTGTTCCGTTATTCAATGCCTTCACTTGTTATTTGTCTGATTCTGCACAGGGAGCTAAGACTTCCGGATCTAGAAGGCTTCAGGGAGGAGGTCAGGAATCAACCCTTCCGATCAATGGAGGCGTTGAGCAACTGGGGTAGGTCACCAGTCGTCCGTTTATTCTTCGAATATGATCTACATATGTGTCCTGACGCAGCCCGTTTCAACAGGTCCTATTACGTTACACTGCAGCTGGGTTCTCAGAAAGAATCATTGAACACCATCATTGACACTGGAAGCGACCTGTTGTGGGTCAGGTGTACTGGCTGTGCAAACTGCCCTCCAGATACAAGAGTAAGGGATTTGTTCGAAAGCATAAGAATTTGCATGATGGCAAAGACCTGACTTCCACGTTGTTCTACATTTCAGGCTCGGTCGTTCAATGCTCAACAGTCAACGACTCGTCAGAGGATTGATTGTGCTGAGTGCAAGGCGATCAATGAGACCACTTGCGCTGGTCCATATCGGGCGGGGTGTGGAATCGGCTGCACGAGGCTGGGAGTTCGAGGTCGTTGCATTGCTGGATGCGGGTATGTGGAACTTATTTATTCATCTCTCGCTTGATTCAGGTGTGTGGTTAGAGTTTTCACAACATCGTGTTTGAACAGACCCAGTGGCACAAGTCGCTGCAATTATGCTGTCATCTATGGTGATGGAAGCTACACGGGTGGAGTTGTGATGCGTGATGTCTTGACTCTCCCTGGCCGCCCAGCAGAAATATCAGCACCGGTTGCCTTTGGGTAATCAGAGTTATGTTTTGGATAGTTTACATCATATGCGGACCAGATAACTAACCCCCCGGTTGTTGCTTTCAGTTGTGACTTCCATGAGTCCCAAGGGCTTCTCAAAGATCCCTTGATTGGCCTGGTTGGCCTTGGCCAAAGCCCTCTATCCATTCCTTCACAGCTAGCGCAAGAGGGAGTTCTTCAGGGAAATATAATCTCACATTGTTTGGGTGGAGAGGATGGTGGCGGATTTATAACCTTTGGCGCGCCTCCTATGGCTGACTCGAGCATGCAGTTTGTCCCTATGGGGAATGACACCACGTAAGTAACTATGTCACAAATGTCCAGGTCCAGGCTGGACCCGTTTGTTCTCTCTGACATGTGTGTGTGTGTTGATGTGCAGGGTGTACAATGTGACGATATTTGGTATTCAGGTGAATGGTATGGATCTGCAAATTCCTGCTGGCACATTTTCTGGAACTGGTGGTATCATTGACAGTGGCAGCACTGCGCTCACGCTCCCAGAAGCAGCGTACACTCCCCTCAGAGAAGCAGTAGGTTCTCTTTAAGGTTTTCATGCCCTTCGCCTTCAATTTTTCATGTCTGTTGGGTGTTCTTGATTATCATTGGGTCATGAACTTTATTCGATGCAGGTTATCCAAGCTGTTGATGGGAAAGCTCAAAGACTTTCTCAGGAAGAAATCAATCAGCTGGCTGGTGGGAATGTTGCATCTGTATTGAATCTGTGCTACAATGTCTCTTCAAGGTATTTGTCTTGTCTTCAGTTTTTTATGCATGTCATTCTGTTTATGTACTAAGCATACCACTGTGTTCTATTCCAGTGATACAGCAACATTGCAGTCAGCATTCCCGACAGTGGCAATTGTGATGAATGGTGCCAACCTGGAGTTACCACCCCAGAACTACCTATGGCTGTTTGTGAGTACCCACGCCCTGCCTGCTACCATATGGTGTGTGTAGTATTTGCTGAGATAACGCTGTTTGTTTGCTTTGTTTTTTTTGTTTTGTTTTTGTTTTTTGCTGGCCTGCAGGACAATTTGGTGTGCTTCTGTGTGTACGACTCGAACAGTGTTGTGGGCCAACCTATTACCATAATTGGAGGTATGATACTGAGGAATCTTCATCTCTCGCACCCATGCCTTAGCGTTTTGGCTCTCGTCTGACATGCTTTCCAAATTTGTGCATGCAGATGTAGCTATGCGTAACAAGCTGGTTGTGTATGATAGAGGGGCAAGAAAGATGGGGTTTCAGACTCTGGATTGTAAAACTGCCTAACTTTAATTCAGTTTAATGTGATTTGCTTTTTTGCCAAGAGGAATGACATAATTCAGTTATAGATAATCTGGAGATGTGTTTGTGAAGAGTCAGATTTCACTTGGCTGTCACATTCGCGGTCTGGCATCAAATCTCGCTTGACCTGACCATACCACTTGGGGTGCCGTACCGTGTTGGAGCATCACAGAAGTCAACGCAATGCCCAGTAGTTGTACTATTTTGGTGTCGAATGTTCCTATATTAGTAGTATAGAGACTGGCGAAGTGAGGATCTCAGTGTAAGTTCGAGTCCGAAGTTGGTAGCAGCCTTCGCGACGTTTAGTATTCACCTCTGATCCACCTGATGCGTTTCGCATGATGGAAACAGTAGCGAATCTCGAAGCAGAGCTGTACCGCGTACGGAGAGACCGACGCTTGCTGCTCTCAAACCTATTAACGTCGCTAGCGGCGACTGGCTGGGCAGATTCGGACCTGGACAGAATCAATGTGGATTACATCCTATGGTGCGCTACGTCAGGTACACAACACAAGTTTCATTGTAGGATTCGCCTTCGCCTTCTTCTAGGCTACACCGGTTGAATGAGTTGTGAGTGCGTTGAATGGCGCTTCGCCTACTTTCCGACTCATATTCGTTACGAAGGTTTGCTCTGTTATCGTCGGGTCTGTACCCGTGAAGACCTTATTCGTTTGTTCGACCTTTTCGTATCGGCTCTTGATGCATACTGCTTCCGTTCGACCTTTCAGGGACGCGCGTGGATATAAAAGCAGCCATTTCAGCCCAACCAACGGTCACTCCGAGGGGTGAGGTGAGAGCTGGACTCGTCTTCCTCGTGTTTCTTTCATTCAATGTCTCAAATGGCTGTATATCATGATAACTGCGGTAGTATGTTCTTGACTCCTGTACACGATTGGATGCTCGGCTTCAGATCTGATCCAGTGGGCCACAGGGAAACGAAGCTCAAAACCAACCTAATTCCTGTTGCCTCTCAACCTCTCCGCATCCCACTCAACTCCGCCTCCCAGGCAGACTTCGTCACAGCCTCCACAGTCATTCTCTCGTCCACAGAGCCCTCCGGCCCTCCGCCTGCTCGCCTCGCTCCCGCCTTTCCAGTCCCCTCTCGCACAGTTCCAGAGTTTTCTGCTCCTCCTCGCCTGCCTCCTGAACCCCACCATCCCCGGCCAGCCTCAGACTTCGCCTCTGCTGCTGCATACGCTCCTCCTGCTCCCGCGGCGCCGTCGTTCCGTGCTGCTGTCCCTTCAGCTGCTCCCGATCGTGTCCCGAACCAATCTTCTAAAACTCACGCATCCGATTCAGCAGCAGCAGCAGCAGAAGCAGCAGCAGCAGGCGGAGCAGCAGTCGGAGGAGCAGCACGGGGAGGTTGGGGAGCAGGACGTGCAAAACCACCAGCCAGAGCCGAGCCAGAGACCCTCCTAGCCCCCCCTCGGCCTCTCTTCCCGCTCTCTCCCCCAGCCCAGCAGCATACCCCAGATTCGCCTCCCCCAGTCAAGCCTAAGGCGCAACAACTAGCCAAGAAGCTGTTTGCCACTCCATTCGCGTCGTCACCTGAAGGCTATTCCACTGAGAGTGATGTTCGCTGCTCCACAGGGACAGATGTGACAGGGGCGCTGAACTGGGGGGGATGGGGACAAGTGGGCGCGAGTGGCTTGGAGTGTGAGGGGGAAAGGTTCGGAGAGGGAGCAGCAGAAGCAGCAGCAGCAGCAGCGGCAGAAGCAGAAGCAGCAGCAGCGGCAGCAGCAGCAGCGGCAGGGGCGGCAGGAGTAAGAGGAAGAGGAGGAGGAGGGGGAGAAGACGCAGGAGGAAGAGGACTGAGGGAAAGCGTAGGAGGGAGCGATGGAGCACGGGAGAGAGTGGCAGTGGCAGGGTCGGTGGAATCAGCTTCGGTGTTTATGGCTTACTCTTCCTCTGCCTCTTCTGTTCACTCCATGTACGCCCTCTCCCAGGGCTCACCGGGCACACCAGAAGCAGCTGGAGCAGCTGGAACTGCAGCAGAAGCAGCAGCACCAGCAGCAGTAGCGGCAGCAGGGGCCATTGATCATGAAAACCAAAAGCCCTCTTCTGTTCACTCCATGTACGCCCTGTCCCAGGGATCAACGCGCAGACCAGAAGCAGCTGGAGCCGCAGCAGCAGCAGCAGCAGTTGCTGCGGGTGTTGCTGCTAGGGAAGCTTCAGCAGCAGCAGGAGGTGCACCAGATGCAGCAGCAGCTTGGGGAGGCCAGCCTTTCCCAGGTAAGCCCTCCCCAGCATCACCGTCCAGTTTAAATCACCCAAACGCCTCAGCATCGGGGTTTCCACACGATGTTATGGGTACCCCAAGTCCAAACCCCATCCGGCCACTGAATTCGAGCCCTGTCAAGACACCAACACAAGAAAAGCCTTCATCGCTGCAGCTGCAAGGTCCTGACAGCCCTGCTCGTACTCCGTATCAGATTCGTTCCCCTCAGCCACTCTCCCCTCGTTCACCTGCAAGCGCCAGCAGGAGCCCTGCTCCCTCCCAACCATCACCTCAGTATGCCCAAACCCCACCGCGTGAACCACTCTATCCTCCTCCTTCCCCTGTCGGAGGCAGCAGGAGTCCTATTTCCGCCGAGCCTTCACCACGGCCTGAAACTCGATACGAACCCTGCTCGCCACCGCCTGAACCACTCTACCCTCCTCCCTCCCCTACAGGAGGCAACAGGAGCCCTGCTTCTTCCCACCGATCTTCTGCTCCCCGATCGGCAGCAGCTGCAGCTGCTCTGAGTGCCCTCGGTGCGGCTACTCTGGCAGCAGGAGGCCCTCCTCTTGCTGCTGGCACTCCTCCTGTAGATGCACAGACCCACGCTCCCTATTCCCATGGCCCATCACCACATAGATATGGTTCGGAGAGTGTGACAAGTAGTGGAACAGGTGGGGGGCGTGAGTCGGCTGTTAATAGCAGGGGTGGTGGCAGTGCTGGTGGGGTTTCTGTGGCCAGCAGCGGGCATGGGTTTGGTAATGCAGCAGGTGCTGATGTGCAGATGAGTGGCGGTGGGAGTGCTGCTGCTGCTTCTGCTGCGGCTTCTGCAGCTGTGGTTACTCCACCGGTCCCAACCCGGCTGGATTTCCAGTCTCCTGTTGGGGAACCACGAAGCAAGAAGAGCGAGAGTGGGAGAGGCAGAGCCGAGGAGTCTGGAGGGAAGGGGAGCGTCCTGGGATCTGCCTGGAGGTCTGGTGGGTCGAATAAGAAGCTGCCACCTGGCACTGATGGGGAGCGGTGGAATGATGACGAGGACGATGATGACGTGGCATCGTCTGATTCGTCCTCGTGTTCGGATTCGTCTGAGATGTCTTCCACGCTTGTGGCGGGCGGTGGCGAGGACTCGCCAGCTGGCACAAGAGATGGAGACTCTGCCAGCTCAGCAAGGGGGCAGCTGAAGTGGCCTTTGCGCCAGCTGGCATCGGGGCTGACAGCAGAGGAGCTTCAAGCAAGTGCCTATGAGGTGCTGCTGCTTGCAGCAGCGGAATCCGGGTGAGTTTGCGTCACTTTTCAAGAGTGAGAGCTTTCGAAAGAGACACAAGCAAGCGCTCATGAGGTGCTGGTGCTCGTGAGACGTCTCAAAACACTCCTTTTTGCAAGAAGCTGGCGACTCAACTCGAAGCAGCCAAATCTGTGCTCTCATCAGGTCTACTTCCTCCGCGTCCCTCTCCCCTCCCCGCCCACTCCAGGCTTGTGTCTGCACCAGCGCCTGGTGCCACCAGTGCAGCCAGCAGCGGCAGCAGCAAGAGCAAGCCCTGGCGGCCTGAATCCCCCGTAGAGCCCAAGTCCAAGTCCCCAGGCGGCTTCATGTCCCGCTTTGCCAAGAAGGTCGGGGTCAACGTGGGGCAGTTTAAGGGAGCCAAACCTGCTGCTGGCATTGCTGCTGCTGGTGGTACTGGTGGCGGTGGCGGTGGTGGTGGTGGGGGTGGTGGAGAGAGGGGGATTGGGGATGGGAGTGGAGGGGAGGGAGGAGGAGGAGCCCTGTCCCCGGAGCTGGCTCGCATGCGGCAGCAACTAGGGGTACGTGATCGGCGCTTCTCCTGCCTTGTCTTACCGTACGCTTGCCTTTTCCTACCATTCTTTCCCTGCATGCATCTGCTTCTTTCCAGTCTCTGTTCTTCCCATGTTTTCTCCTCCCCAGGAGATGTTTTTTTTTCAACTTTCAATCTGCAAGTGCTTATTCCGTCCCCGGTATCTCCCCATCACGCTCCCACCTATGGCAGGTACCCGAGTCTCTCCACGCTCTCCTCCTCTCAGCCCTCTTCTTCCCACCCCCCTCACATACCGTCGAAATGCCATCCCCCATCAGCCCCCTCATCGGTGCAGCAGCAGCAGCAGCAGCAGCAGATCATCCTGCCTCTCTTCATTCTCTCTCCATTCCTTTCCCCTGCCCTTCCCTGCTTCCCTCTCCCCCCTTTCCACAGGTACCCGAGTCTCTCCAAGCTCTCGTCCTCTCAGCCCTCTTCCTCCCACCCCCATCACACACCGTCGAAATGCCATCTCCCATCAGCCCGCTCACCGGTGTAGCAGCAGCAGCAGCAGCTGCCGCCATTCCTCCCCTCCCGCTCCCGCTCTGCCTGCTCCTCCACTTCTCCCCCATCCCCGCCTCCCTTTCCTCCTCCTTCTCCCCTGGAGTTGATGCTCTGAAGGCCGCTGCTTCTTCTCTCGCTGCGTCATTCTCCAATCTGTCGCCAGACCTCCGTAGAGCTTTCTACCACAGACAGGTGTGTAAGTCTGTATTTTTCTCTTGCTCTTCTTGTTTTTGTTTGTTATTGTCCCGTATTTGCTTGTGTGTGTGTGTGTGTGTGCTTGTGTGCGTGCGTGCCCGCATGTGTGTGTGTGGTGTAAACACTGGACTTTCCTTTGTGCCACAATTCCAGTCGACTTGCCTCATTCCATTTTGGCCCCACAGGCTCTACCGCTGCATGATCCCCTACCATTTCGCTTTTCCGCCCCCATTCCAGGTGAAGCTGCTGCAAGAACTGCTGTTGGACGCCACAGGCAATGCAAAGCCACAGGGCACAGGAAAGGGAGGAGCGGGAGGAGCAGGAGGAGCAGGAGGGGAGGCACAGGGTGGGGATGATCGTGCTGAGGTGGCAGCCGCCCTGGATGCCATGCTGGCACTTGTAAAGGTGAGCTGGACGCTGACTCACTCGCGGCGCACCCCCTGCACGCCCATATCATCAGTCAGTCCGTCTGATAGATGCTCAGCTCACAGTGAAAGCTGCCCAACCTCTATTTTAGGCGCCTCAAAGACTCATATCACCAGTCCGTCTTATACGTGCTCAGAGTGAGAGCTGCCCAAACTCATTACAAAGCTTGCATTGCCCCCTTTTTCCTATTTTCCCTCGTTTCCCACATTTCCCTCTCACCCCACCCCCCACTAGTTACCACTCATTTTCACTCACCCTATCTCTCTCCCCTGACTTCTTCTCCTCCCTCTTCCCCTCACCATTTCTCTGCTGCGAGCTTCGCTGGCTTTTTTTATCCTCTGCTCCTCCCCTTTCACCTTAATCCACTTTCGCCATTCCTTTCCCTTTCCAGGGTCACGAGTTCATCACCTCGCCTCCCTCCTTTGAGGCCAAGTGGAGCCGGAAGCTGAGCGAGTTGCGCTGGCTGATCCTATCCTCTGCTCCTTCTCTCTCAACCGATTTCACTCGCTCCTCTCCCTCTCACCCTATCCCTCTCCCCCCATGCAGGGTCACGTGTTCATCACCTCCCCGCCCTCCTTCGAAGCCAAGTGGAGCCGGAAGCTGAGCGAGCTGCTTTTGATTCAAGCCCACTCCCTCTTCCCCTCCCCTCCCTCCCACACCCATCCAGGGTCACGAGTTCATCACCTCTCCTCCGTCCTTCGAAGCCAAGTGGAGCCGGAAGCTGAGCGAGCTGCTTTTGATTCAAGCCCACTCCCTCTTCCCCTCCCCCTCCCTCCCACACCCATCCAGGGTCACGAGTTCATCACCTCCCCGCCGTCCTTCGAAGCCAAGTGGAGCCGGAAGCTGAGCGAGCTGCGCTGGCTGCTGGTGGGGGGATTCGCCTGGGGCGGCAGGAGAGGAAACGCAGCAGCACTGGCCGCAGCAGCAAGCCACAATGCTGGCGGTGGTGTGAGGCAAGGGAAGCAGCTACCGGTGCTGCCTGGTGCCTGGTGTCCCACCCGAGCGACCTTCAACGCATCTCTGTACCATCAGCTGCTGTCCGCCTGCTGTGACCCCTCCGATTCAGCCTCTTCCATCGACCTCCTCTTTGTAAGTCCCTTTGGGAAATTGTTGTTGTGTTGCTGTCGGCCTGCTATCGGCCTGCTGTCGGCCTTCTTTTGCCCTGCTCTATGCCTGTTGCTCGCTGCCCGCTGCTGTCCTGGTGCCCCATTGAAGCCAGCCTGAACGCGTCTCTGTTCTGTACCATCAGCTGCTGTCCGCCTGCTGTGACCCCTCAGATTCGGCCTCTTTCATTGACCTGCTCTCTGTAAGCTCAGCTCAGCTAAGCACAGAATACAAAGACGACACGTCTGAGCCGTGTCTTGCTCAGATCCGAGGGCACCTGCATTGTGAGTCTATTTTTGAGTCGACTCAGGAATGTGCTCAGAGGGCACCTGTGTCGTGCTCTTGCTCTCCCCCCTCATTGCTCTTCCCCACCTTGTTCTGACATAACACCGTGTTTGTTCTTCCCTTCTCTCTAATGGCCCTTTCATTGATAGTCAAGGTGTACAGACATGCAAGGTATGGGTCATCACGTACGTGGGGCTAATAGAGAATACAATTCCTATTCACTCCGCAGCCCAACACCCTCTAAGTAAGATCCAGTGCAGGATCAAGAACCGAGAGGCAGTCCCCAAGGGACGGTGCCTCCCCCACTGCCTCTAGTAGCGGGTTTTCAACCGCTGCTGCTATGCTGCACTTTTCCAGGTACCCAATCGACTGCCCCCGTTGAAGAGCCACCGACCACCGCTGCCGGTATTGGTGTAAGAGCTTGGCAGCTTGGTAGGAGGTTGGCTCGGCGTTGAAGAACCGCCGTGCAGCCGTTTCTGCGAGGAGTTTCAGGAAGTCCACTGACTCGGGGCATGGGCACCCGTATGTCTTGACCGCTAGTGGGAAAAACTTCACCCAGTCTGGGCGGTCCTTGTAAAGGCCGTGTTTCTTGTCTGCCGCCTTCTCTCTCTCTCTCTGTCTTACAATCTGCAGGAGATGGAGGAGAGAGTTGAGGCCCTCAGGCCCACGTGGCACTCTCTGGGAGTGACACCTGTCACGCACAGCGCCCTGCAAGCTTGGACCCTCTGCCAAAAGGTATGCTTGCGGTGGCTGTCTGACCAATGTTCATGAGTCCCACACTATTTTCCCACCGTCATCTCCCTGTGCAGTTCGATGAGGTCCTATCCTCATCCCCCGCTCGTCCTCTCTCTCATTCTTCCTTGCTCTCGCATCATGTCCCCTGTTCTCCCCCTCTCCTCCTCCATCGTCTCCCTCCTCTTCCAGGCTTCAGTTCCAACTCTTCCTCACCCGCTCTCATCACCGTCGCCAGCTGGCGGTCTGCCAGATCAGCAGCAGCAGCAGCAGCTTCTGCCAATCAGATCTGTGCTTCCGCTCATCTGCCAATCACTGCGCCGCCTCCCAACCACTGCCTGTGCACGACCATCGTCATCATCATCATCATCCGCAGCAGCAGAAGCAACAGGAACAGAAGCAGCAGCAGCAAAAGCAGTAGCAGCAGCAGATGGCAGAGAGGAACCTTCAGCGAAGGTTCTCCTTCACCCGTTCGTGCAGTCGGTGTCTCGCTTCCTGTCATCACTTCTAAGTGACTACCACCACACGCTGCTGGAGGTGAGTGATTAGTTTGTTTTTGAGTCACTCAAAAGTCTCCTTCACCCGTTCGTGCAGTCGGCGTCTCGCTTCCTGTCGTCGCTCCTTAGTGACTACCACCACACCCTGCTGGAGGTGAGTGTTAATCACTGCCCCAGGTTTGAATCGACTTTTGAGTCGACTCAAAGGTTCTCCTTCACCCGTTCGTGCAGTCGGTGTCTCGCTTCCTGTCGTCGCTCCTTAGTGACTACCACCACACCCTGCTGGAGGTGAGTGTTAATCACTGCCCCATGTTTGAATCGACTTTTGAGTCGACTCAAAGGTTCTCCTTCACCCGTTCGTGCAGTCGGTGTCTCGCTTCCTGTCGTCGCTCCTTAGTGACTACCACCACACCCTGCTGGAGGTGAGTGTTAATCACTGCCCCAGGTTTGAATCGACTTTTGAGTCGACTCAAAGGTTCTCCTTCACCCGTTCGTGCAGTCGGTGTCTCGCTTCCTCTCGTCGCTTCTAAGTGACTACCACCACACACTGCTGGAGGTGAGGGATTAATTTGCTCCTTTGGCATCACAAAAGTAGAATCGTTGCTTTTAAGTGACTACCACCACACACTGCTGGAGGTGAGTGGTTTCTCACCCCCCAGGCTTGAATCCCTTAACCCGTGCAGCCATGCCCATGAGCCCATGTCCATATCTGGCTCTGTAGTCTGCTGCTCCTCTCACGTACCATACCCCACACGAATGCCTCACATCTCCCCTCCTCTCTCCGTTCTCCCTCCAACCCGCTCTTATTTCCAGGCGTCTAGCGCGACTAGCAGTACAGGCGCGAGTGCAGACGGATTGGCAGCACTAGAGTTTGCTCTGGACTCGTTTGTGCTGCTGTGACCTGCTTCATCAGTCCGCGCTTTTTCCCCCTCGTCTCGTCCCTGCCCCTGACCCGTGCCATTTTATCCTCTAATAATTTCCAGGCTTCCAGCAGCAGTGGCGCGAGTGCAGACGGACTGGCAGCACTGGAATCGGCTCTTGACTCGTACCTGTGCTGCTGCGACCTGCTGGAAGCAGGCAGGAAGAGGAGCAGCCGAAGACACACGGTGAGTGGGGTTCATGGGGAGTGGATGGGAGAAGGGAGGGTGGTGAAGATAGGGGAAGAGAAATGGGCAGTCATTTTTTCAGACCGCCTTGCTTCTGTGAGCAAGTTCAGGGAGGGTGGACCCTCAGTGTACCCTTTATCAACCTCTTAACTGCCACCCTGGATTTGCTCCTTCCCTTCTGAAGCCCAGAACCCGAAGCACCCTGTTTCACTCTCTTCTCTTCCGTCCTCTCCCCAGGCCCCAGGGGGACCACCGAGCATGGAGCGAGTGGAGGACGTACTCGAGTTTGTTCACACGTCAGTGCTCTCCTCCTTTGACCGCGCGTGCCTAGATGCTATGGCAGCAGCAGCAGCAGCGAAAGCCCAGAAAGACGCACAGGATCAGCACAATGACGGAAGCTCCTCCTTCTCTTTCCCAGACTCTTCCACAGACGGGCCTGCTTCGGATTTCAGAGCAGCAGGGGCGGGCGGAGAGGTGGGATTGGCTCAAATGGCTGAGCTGGCGAGTGTGATTATAGAGAGGGAGGCTGGGGGAATGGTTGGGGGGGTTGAAGGGCGAACAGGGAAGGGAGGTGGGAGGGGGAGGGGAGGGGGAGCGGAGGGAGGGGCGGCGAAGGGTGGATGTGTTGCGGTGTTCAGGCGGTTGGGGGTGTATGGGACAGCAGCAGTGGCGGCAGCAGCGTTGCATCAACAGCTTGATTCACAGCTGGTGGGTTGTGTGAGCTGCTTGGATGGCACAGCAGCAAGTCTCAGAAACGTTTTCAGGTGGCTGGGCCTGGGGCTATGATGCGAAAGACGCGTCCTGCGTCCTGGACGCATGCGTCCAGACGCATGCGTCCAGACGCATGCGTCCGGACGCAGGACGCTTCACCAGGACCAGAAAGACGCACCAAAAGACGCAGTCCCGGGCAGGCAAAAAAAACCCCCGGGCAGGCAAAAAAACCCCCGGGCAGGCAAAAAAACTTGTTATAGGGCATGGGATGAGGGGGGGGGGGGGGAACGTTCCACACTTTCAAGGCAAACTTGGCCCCAACATCAAATTTTCCCCCAAATCTCAAGATTAAGGTGAGTCACGTATTGTCACACACATGTCCCAAGGTCACATGCACAGTTTATCGTATCACTGAAGAACACGCATACTATTAAACTACCACCACAGCACTGCATGCAGGCAACCAGTCATCTCATCCCATTAAATATGGTGTTTGGGCTTTTGCGGTTTCTTCTCCACCCCATCACTAGTGAAACGCTGCGGGGGAGACTCGTCCTCGGCATGAACATCCCTAGATGCGTTTGATGACGTAGGGTTGCTTGAGGAAGCCATAATGGAGCTAAGCTATGCTTGTAGGCTAAAACCTCTAGGGTTTTCGAAAGAGAATTGGTTGGGTGGGTGAAATGAGAAATGACTTGGTTGGATTGCTAAATGGGCTTGGTGGTAGGCACCTTGGTTGGGTTTTCTAGATGTGAAGTGGTTGAGAGGTATTTGGAATTCAATTGTTGCATGGGGGGTTATGAAATGTTGGGGGGGGGCTGTTTTTTAATGTCGAATTGGGCAATGGGGGGTCAAAATTTCGCAATTTCGACAGTCGCGTCAAAATCGCGAGATTGAAATTCGTAATCTGGAAAAAAAAAAAAAAATCGGGGCAGCCCGAAAAATTTTCGATCTGCGTCCTGCGTCTGGACGCGCGTCTTGCGTCCTAGCGTCCAGACGCTGCGTCCAGACGCAGTACGCAGCGTCCTCTGAGCGTCTTTCGCATCATAGGCCTGGGGTGAGGGTATGCTTGTTTTCTTTGGACCAGCAGCAGTGGCAGCAGCAGCGCTACACCAGCAGCTGGATTCGCAACTGGTGGGTTGTGTGAGCTTGGTTAAAGCAATAGGCTTAGATCATTCTCAGAAACGATTTCTGCAAGTCGTTGGTGCTTCTTGTATCCATATCTTTTTCCTGTGTGCACCTCCGACCCACCAGGGCCGGTTCCTCGCAGTGGTATCAGAGCTGCACTGCACCCCGACTGCTGGAAGGAAGGCGTTTTCCCTCTAAACCCTCTCCATGCGTTCTCACCACATTCCACCATTCCCAACGTCTCCCCCCCTGTGTACTTCTGCTTATCCATCACTACCCATCAGGACCCGTTCCTCTCAGTGGTATCAGAGCTGCACCCTGACTGCTGCAAGGTGTTTATCCTCCAACCCCTGTTCGTCCATTCTCACCACACTCCACCACTCCCAATGCCACCACCAGGACCCGTTCCTCTCAGTGGTATCAGAGCTGCACCCCGACTGCTGCAAGGTGTTTTACGCTGTGGATGCATTCGACCGGCGCGTGCAGCAGGTGGTGCAGGGGGAGGTGTGGGCGGAGGAGGAGGAGGCGAAGAAGAGAGCAGGAGAGGGGCATGGGGGATACGGGCATGCTTCTCAAATTGCCAGCGAGCTGAACGCTTACCAGGTAAGTCTATCTGGATGCATTCGACAGGCGTGTGCAGCAGGTGGTGCAGGGGGAGTTGCGGGCGGAGGAGGAGGAGGCAAAGAAGAGGCAAGGAGATGGGCATGGGGGATACGGCGATGCAGCCCCCCGGGGATTGCAAGCGAGCTCATCGCCTACCAGGTAAGCCCCCCTGTCGAAGGTGTCCGTAGCAGCTGTCAGGCAGAGAGCAGGAGTGGGAGATGGGCATGGGGGATGCGGCCATGCTGCAAATATTGCAAGCGAGCTGAACCCGTACCAGGTAAGTCCTTCTATGACCTATCAGATGAGTGAGTAGGGCTCATCTGACAGCACCTGCCAGGCAGGCAGAGAGCAGGAGTGGGATAGATAGGGGAATGGGGGATACGGCTACGCAGCTCAGATTGCAAGCGGGCTGTTCACAGTTTGCTCATACCAAACCTCTTCACCCTCCCTTGTGGTTGTCGTACGCCTGCCTGCCCTCAGATTGACCCTGTGATGAAGCTTCTTTTGAGGCGCATGGGTGCCTAAATGACTATGATTATGTTTCTGCCTTTCCATCAGATTGACCCTGTGATGAAGCGTCTGTTCTCAGCCTGGGTGTCAGCGCAGCAGCAGAAGCTCCACGTGTGGATGGAGAGAGGAGTTGAGGCAGAGGTGAGAGAGGAGGAAGGGAGGAAAGATGAGGGGTGGAGCAGGGTAAATGCAAGGAGCAGGTGGGGTGGTGTTGCCAGCCTATTGCCTAAACGTGCCTAAGCGACTAATAAGTGTGGATGGAGAGGGGTGTGGATGCCGAGGTGAGAGAGGGATCCGGTTTCTTTTTAGGGACGATTTGTCTGCATTCCGGTTCTCCGTCTTTCCAGCTACTTCTCAACCCCTTGCCCCACTCTTCACCCGCTCGACTCATTCGCTCTTCTCACCCGCTCGCCTCGCCTCTCGCGCTGCTTCTGCTGCAGACGTTCGAGCCGGCTTCAGATACACTCAAGCACGGGGCTTTTGCAGTGGATGCTGTGCGGCTGGTAGAAGAGGTGAGGCTTGGGTGGTTGTGGGAGAGGTGTGCATTGGGTGGTGAGAGAGGTGGTGTGGTGTTGCCTGCCTATTGCCTACCTCTACAGGCGACAGCTGCGCTTTTATTAGGCCTTTCTATCCATACCTCAAGCACGGGGCGTCTGTGGTGGATGTAGTGTGGCTGGTGGAAGGGGTGAGGCTTGAGTGGTGGTGATGAGGGTTCGACTGGTGAAGGCCGCAATTGTGACTCGGTAGCTTTCCCCCCCTCAAGCACTGAGCTTCTGCAGCGCATGCTGCAGCAGACGGTTTACAGCACCAATATCCTCTTCTGCTCCTCCTTGTTGCTCCTCGTGACTTTTGAGTGACTCATAAGTCACCTCGTTACAATGGCAGATGGTCCATAGCACCAACATCCTCTTCTTCTCCTCCCTGTTGCTCCTGGTGACTTTTGAGTGACTCAGAAGTCACCTCCTCACAATGGCAGATCACAGGCGCATCATACACAGGCGCATCCCCTCCCTCCGCTCTCCACCATACCATAGGCGCATGAGCATTTGCTGTAGCATGAGCGGTTCTTCCGCCTGAGTTTCCCCCCCCGCTTGCCCATGCTATGCTCCACAGCACCCACACCCTCATGACATGGGCGCCTATGTTGCCAAAACATCTCTGTGACAAGTCCTAGAGGCCTGGGCCTCCCTTTCCACCTGCCCATGCTGCAACAATAGTCCACAGCACCAATACCCTCATGAGCACCCGCGTTGCTTGCCACTCATCCCTAGGACTCCTCTCCTCCGATCCCCTATTCCAGGTGCCAGAGCAACCGAGAGAGTTGTTGCTGCAAACATGAATCGAATTGAGGCAACATAATACGTTAGTTTCAGGATAAAAATGAATCGACATTTCATCAACTCACCAACCCAGCAATCCCCTTTTACCTCTCTAGGAAGTCGTGCCGGGTATGGGACGAGACTCTTCTGGCCACTAGTCTTGCAAGCAGTCGGCTTGAGCACACAAATCCAGCTTGCGAGCGATTAAGATCAAGAATTGTGAGGATAGACCATTCCACTTCATCTCAAGTGACGCGTCATAACATTTCTCGAATCAAACGCCAACTTACATGGCCAACTTGTCGTCAGTTTTTGACTCGTTAATTTCGACGATAAGTTGGCCATGCGAGTTGGCGTTTGATTCGAGAGATGTTCTGACGCGTCACTTGAGATGAAGTGGAATTCTCTCATCGCAATGCTTGATCTTAGTCGCTCGCAAGCCGGATTTGTGTGTTCAGGCCAGCTGCTCGCAAGACTAGTGGCCAGAAGAGTCTCGTCCCATATCCGGCACGATTTCCTAGAGAGGTAAGAGGGGATCGCTGGGTTGGTGACTTGATGAAATGTCGATTCATTTTTACCCCGAAACTGACGTTCTGTGTTGCCTCAATTCGATTCATGTTTGCAGCAACAACTTTCATGATCCGCCAATTCTTCCGCCTGGGCCTAGGTTGCCAAGATCGCTGCGCTCAGCCCCAAATACCACCTCAAGCTACCTCCCTGTCTCCCTATCCCCCCTTGCACCCCCTACTGCAGGTCCTAGAGCAGTTCTTTCGTCTTGGCCTGCCCCCCCGCCTGCCCATGCTGCAACAAATAGTCCACAGCACCGACACCCTCATGAGCGCCTATGTTGCCAAGATTGCCGCTCTCGGCCCCAGGGACGACCTCAAGCTGCCTCCACCGCCCCTCACGCGCTTCAAAGAAGACTTGGCTCAGAGGCTGGCTGATAAGGCGGAGAAAAGGGCGGAGAGGGAGGAGAGGGTGCAGAAGGGGAAAGCGGGGTACTTGGAGGGGTTGTGGCATGCGCGGAAGGGTGTGGGGGGGACGGGAGGGGGAGTGGGAGGGAGGGGGGCGGTGAGGGCGGTGGATGCGGCGAAGGCTGCTGCGATTGATGCTCTGACTGTGAAGAAGCTGTGTGTGCGGATTAACACTCTGGAGGTGAGAATCAGTTGGGTGTTTCACAGGTGTGTGTGCTGTGCAGGTTGATAGTGCACCTTCTGCACCCTCTCTTCTGCACCCTCTCTTCTGCACCCTCTCTTCTGCACCCTCTCTTCTGCACCCGCTCTTCTGCACCCTCTTCTCACCTGCGTCTCGTATTCAAGCAGCCATGGAAATAACTCTCTTCTCGCCTCCTCTCCTTCCTGTTCCTCTCACACCAGTTTGTGACAGCCGAGCTGGACAAATCCGAGAAGGCTCTCTGTGAGCGCTGGGATGAGTACGCTCCTCACCTCAAGATCGATGACATGGCAGGTGAGCATGCTGACCTGGCACCTGTGTTTGCTACATGGCATGTGAGAATGCTGACGTGGCAGGTGAGCATCGACCGAACCAAATATTCGTTCCTCCGTTCCCTGGTCCTTATCCTCATCCATTTCTTCACCTCACTCTTTCGTTCTCCCCTGTTCTCCCATGTTCCACTGTTTGTCCCCTGTTCTCCCATGTTCCACTGTTTGTCCCCTTTTCTCCCATGTTCCACTGTTTGTCCCCTTTTCTCCCATGTTCTACCATGTTGCAGCCATGGCCCCGTCTCAGCTCGCCTCCTCCCTCGCCTTCCGTCTCTCCACAGAGGGCGTGGCTGGGCTCAAGAGAGGAAGCTTCTATGAGCAGACCACCACGCTCGCAGCACAGCGCATGCAGACCCTCTCAGACTACCTCGGTCAGTGCGTGTGTGTGGACGGGGAGGGGATAGAGGGAGGAGTGGGTTGGTGTGACTTTGGGAGGAGAGGGGGGAAATAGTGTGGGTGTGCAAGTAAGCTTCTATGAGCAGACCACCACGCTTGCAGCACAGCGCATGCAGATCCTCTTGGCCTACCTTGGCGAGTGCCTATTTGATCTCGCTCACTCGTATCACCCCTGTCATTTTGGATTTGCGTAATATTCATGTAGCATCCGACCTTGGTTGGTTGTCATTACAAATCTGTTGATTCTGAATTGGATATGATTGTTTGTTTGATATGTTTCCATTTTCCCCTCGCCTCTCTCCACCCAGGCACCAAGGTGGTGCGATGGAACCTGAGGGAGGTGTATCTAGAGGAGCCCGATGGAGCAGCCGTTAGGTATACACCCCTCCTGTTTAAACACAACAAGGTGCCCCTCCTATTTATGCTGTTCCTTGCAGGCACCAAGGTGGTGTGGTGGGACCTGAGGGAGGCGTTTCTGGAGGAGCTGTATCGTGTGAGCGTGGAATCCTGTCGCATGAGCAACCTCATGCTCAAGCTCGACCCGGTCAGTTTTTTCCTTTGTTTTTTTCCACCGTTTCCCAATTTTCGCCATGTTGTGTCGCATGCGGGAGCATGCTTATTTAATTCACCACTATGTGTGTGTGAACTGGTCCGTGTATCCACTTGCAGGTGTTGGGGGAGATTGTGGAGACCGTCTCGGACTCTCTGAGGGATCGTGTCGTCACCTCTCTCCTGCACTCTGTTCTGGTAATTTGGGTTTGTGTTTGTGGTTTTTTTCTTTCTTTTTGTGGGGGAGGGGAAATGGGGGGAGGAGGAGGGGGGAAGGGACTAAGAATATTTTTTCTTACACTTATGATCATTCTTCAGCGATTTATTTTTCATCTTGTCCTAACGTCCCTCTGACCAGCACATGCGAATTCTGAATGTTGTTCACTCTTATCTCTGAAACCACTCTTAAAACCCTTCCACTTCATCAGGAGGGCCTGCTGCGCGTGCTTCTGGACGGCGGGCCTCTGAGGGTGTTTGCTCAGTCAGACTACGATGCCCTGGAAGATGACCTCCGCATTCTCAAGGTGAGCAGCTGATGTAGCTAGCATGACATGAGATTGCATGTCATGGAATGGTATTTGATATGGCATGGTGTGACATGACTTAACCCGTCAGACTATGATGCCCTGGAAGATGACCTCCCCATTCTCAAGGTGAGAGGGGTGATATCACATGAGAGAACACATGAGTCAGCTCACATGAGGGGTGATATCACATGAGAGAGGACCTTCCACTTCCCCCTTCCCGTTTCCCTCTTACCGTCCCCTTTCTCCTTCCCCCTCCCTCCTCCCCCATTCCCTCTCCCCATTTCCCCTCCCCCAGGAGTTCTTTGTGGCGAATGGCAACGGCTTGCCACAGGAGGTTGTGAACAAGGCAGCAGCTCAGGTGCAGCAAGTGCTCAACTACTACTCCCTCGATGTGAGTGTTTTGTACAGTACTTGTAACTTTGCAAACTTTCTATACCTCATTGGTAAGGTCTTTTTTTATATGACCCCTCCACTCCACAACCACCTGTTCCAGTAACCTTAGCCTCAACTATGGTTTTTGTTGACATGTGCGCATGTCATCATTAACCTCGACGTGTTCTTTCAACTGTCATCTCCCCCTTGACAGACTGCTGACGTCATTATGGTTTACAAGCAAGCAGCAGGAGCCAGTCAAGCAGCAGGCGGTGCGTTTCGGGCCTCGTCATTTGTGAAGGGAGGTGGCGCAGGGCTCACTGGGCACGATGCACATGTGCTTCTGCGCGTGCTTTGCCATAGGGCGGATCGGGAAGCTTCCAAGTTCCTCAAGAAGCACATGCACCTGCCTAAGTCATAGTAATTAGAAAACAAACGAGGATAAAAACAGAATATAGGTGTACTGGGCATAACGTAGATGCCCATTAATTTTAGCACAGGCTAGTGTTTTGAGTGTTTATGTAAGGAATTTTCTCGGCATTCCTTGTTCGCCCGTTACTGCTAACGGAACTTCGCCGACTTCGCGCGCACTGTTTTACCAAACCTCGCACTGCTGGCATGGCCGTATCGGCCTACGCTTCGGGACTAGCCCGAGCCTCGCTCCAGCGTAGCACTAGCAAGCTCGCACGCACCGCGTTACCGTTTTGCATGTTTCGCGTATAAATGTTCGCTCATGCCTTCGCTCACATTTTGTACTCGTTTGACACCTTAGTGCAATTCTCGCTACCTCGATTCATTGCACCCGTAACACTTGGTATCAGAGCCCCTTTCTTTCGGACCGCGCATCTCCACACACCAGGAAATCAACTTTTGATTTTTCACTCGAAGGGACTCACGCACCTTAGCCCCTAGGAGCCGCTGTCCTCGCGTTCTCTCGTAAACGCGTGCAGCCACGACTGCGCCTAGACTAAGACGAGCCGACGCCCTTCGTCATGGCCGAAAACATCGACGTCACCACTCTCACGCAGGAGCGTTTGAACGATCTGCTGCGACAACTGCACGAAAGCTCCGAGGAAATCGCGGCATTGACGGCAGAACGCTCATCACTGCAAAATGACCTCCTGAGAGCACAATCTCAAGCACCTGGCACTCCGATCCAACCCGCACCCTCAACATCACAACACGGGAGTGTGGGGCAACCCGCGAGCGCGGCCAGTGAGGCGTCGTCCGCCCCGACGGAGACGACGACCACGGCACGACACACCCCAGAGCGACGCCTGCGGCCCCAAGTCAGCCTCGCGTCACGATTTCGGCACCAACCCACGATTCGGGACTGCCGTCACCGATGCCGCTGAAGCCGCAGCGCCCGCCATGCTTTGACCCGAGTCAACGGGGTGGTCCTACCGTTCAGGCGTGGTTATTCACAATGAATGTTTTCTTCGACGCCAACTACGTCTCGGAGGACTCGGCGAAGATTCGATACGCCGTGTCGTTGCTGCGAGGACCCGCCATGGACTGGTGGCGCGTCATCGTCACGAAGCCGACCGACTACGCGACACTACCGACACGGGAAGGACAAACCGGACCCTGGGCGCCGTCGTATTTCGTGGAGGTGCCCCAGTATCGCACGTGGGACGCGTGGTGCGCAGGTCTGCGCGCTCGATTTGAGCCAATCGCGCCTCGATCTCGGCGCGACAGAAGCTCCGCACTTGGCGCCAACTCGGTTCCATCCAGGATTACACGAGCGGATTTCTGGCGCTATGCGAGCAGGTGGGCTACATGCATGAGAGCGAACGCATCGACCGCTACATCGGCGGCCTGAAGCAGGACATCGCTCAGGAAATTCTCGCTATGGCGGAGAAGCTCGACTTCTTTCGCCGACCGAGACCGGGGTCCTACGGAAACAACACCTGGGGACATCGGCCTCGTGGGACGAACGAAAGCGCCACGATACGCGCCGTCGCCGCAAATGCCGCTGCCGCACCGTTCAAAGGGCGCTGCTTTGCGTGCAATCGGCCGGGACATCGCAAGAACGAATGCCCGGAAAACGCTAAGGGAAAGGGGGAAGCTGAGCAGCAGACACAGACCAAGCAGCAGGGAAACGCTGGAAGTCAGTAGCAGACGGGCCCTCTACTGACAGGTCACGCCGCTCGCCCGACCCAACCGACCCTCACCGAGTGATTGTGCCGGTTCACGCAATCGACCACACCCGGCCGAATAAGGAGGGTACCACGGTAGATAGCCCTATACTGCTCAGTGGGAAAATTGGGACGGACTTAGTTAAAATCTTCGTAGACGGGGGAGCCAGCCACAGCCTCATTAACACTGCTACAGCACGCAAACTGCGACTGCCACTGGACCGATGCTTACCTGAGATCGACGCACGACTGGTAGACGGCACGCCGCTGGCAATACGGGAACGCGTAGACCGAGTTCGGATTCGATGCGGGGGTAACTTCACGTTTAGTCAGGAAATGCTCGCAACGACCCTCGACGGAACCGACATTTTACTCGGGCGTGATTGGCTGCGACGACACAATCCGCGAATTGACTGGACGACGGGTGACTGCACCGTGCGAGTAAACGGTAACAACATCGCCTTACCTCGCTGGGGCTCGCCTGAGTCTTCGTCGGTGCGTGTCAACGCGATCACGATGAAACGCGCTGTTGCAGCCGGAGCTGACGTGTACGCGGTTGACATTCGGGAAGCCGAGGCAGCAGACAAGGGGGGCGATTTACAGAAACTGCTGACCGACGTACCGAGTGACCTGGCGGCACTGTTAAAACAGTACAGTGACATTTTCCCGGATGACTTACCGACGGGACTGCCACCTCAGCGACCGCACGATCACAGGATAGAACTGGAACCGGGGGGCACAGCCAACAGTACAGCGACAGTTCCGACTGACCCAGCCCGAACTAGACGAACTAAGGAAGCAGCTCGATTACCTGCTCGAAAAGGAATTCATTCGCCCTAGTTCGTCGCCCTTCGCCGCACCAATACTGTTCACACCGAAAAAGGACGGGGGTTTTCGCATGTGCATCGACTACAGGGCACTGAACACGGTTACTATCAAATCCCGTTACCCCATCCCACGAGCCGACGAACTGATCGACCAACTGCGCACAGCCCGGGTTTTCTCGAAAATCGACCTCCGGGGAGGCTAACACCAAATCCGCGTCAACCCACCCGACTGCCCTAAAACCGCATTCCGAACACGCTACGGATCCTTCGAATACACCGTCATGCCATTCGGACTGACCAACGCCCCCGCCACTTTCCAAATGACCATGAACGAAGCATTCCGCCCGCTTTTAGATAAGTGCGTCATCGTTTATCTGGACGACATACTGATTTACAGCCCTGACAGAGCACAGCACTTACAAGACATCGAAGCAGTTTTTAAAATCCTGAGTGAGAACCGCCTACTGACCAAAGCATCTAAGTGTGAGTTTTTACAGGACCGCCTGGAGTTTTTGGGACATGTTATTTCAGCTGCAGGAGTGGAAATAGACCCGAAGAAAATTGCGACGATTCAGGCTTGGCACGCGCCGACCAACTTGACCGAGTTGCAGAGTTTCCTGGGGTTCGTCAACTACGTGCGCCGGTTCGTCCCCGACATGGCGAAGCTGACTGCCCCGTTGACTGACCTGCTGAGGAAGGGGGTTGAGTACACGTGGGGGGAGAAAGAGCAAGCTGCCTTCTCGGCCCTCAAAAATATTTTGTGCTCCCCGCCCGTCCTTCACATTGCAGATCCCCACCGTCCGTTTGAGCTCGTCACCGACGCAAGTGACATCGCTGTGGGAGCAGTACTGTTTGCAGGATTTCGGGAACGGCCTCCAGCCAATCGCATACGAGTCCCGCAAGTTACACCCGCCCGAACGTAACTACCCGATACACGACCGCGAGATGCTAGCGATCGTGCACGCGTTCAAAGTTTGGCGATGTTACCTGACTGGCGCCGACGTGACAATACGGACAGACCACCGCTCGCTACAGTATCTTCGCGCCCAACCGAATCTCAACCCACGACAGATTCGCTGGTTGGACTATCTCGAGTCCAATTTTCACTACACCGTTACGTACAAAAGGGTGAATCCAACATCGCCGACGCTCTCACCCGCCCCACCGCCCAACTCCATGCCATCCTACTCGCCCAGACCAACCCGCTTTTAACTGGCCTATTCACCCACGGATACCGCACCGACCCATTTTTCACGACCGGAAATTCACAGCAACTGGCAGAAGCAAAAGGAGTCTATTACGTAAAAGCAGGCACCAACCGCATTTGGGTACCCGCGTACTCACTACTGAGGGAGCTGCTACTACAGGAGGCACACGACGGGATTACCTCGGGACATTTCGGGGTAGAAAAACGCGACAGCAACTGCAGCGGTACTATTACTGGCCGGAGCTGTTGACCGACGTACAGCAGCACGTGGGCTCGTGCCCGACGTGTCAGGTGATGAAGAGTTCAAGGAAGCGGAAGGCGGGCCAATTGCAGCCGATCCCACCGCCCGAACGCGCCTGGCAGCAAGTAACCATGGACTTCGTCACAGGGTTACCATCGAACCCTGGGGGTAACGACGCGGTGATGGTCGTCGTGGATAGGCTGACGAAGATGGCACACTTCGCTGCGTGCAAAAAGTCGATCTCAGCCGAGGAGACCGCTCGCCTGTTCATCGCAGCCGTTGTTCGCCTGCACGGGATACCAGCAGCAATTATCAGCGACAGGGACACGAAATTTACCAGCAACTTCTGGAAGAACCTCTGGGAGCAGTTCGGGACCAGGCTACAGTTCAGTTCGTCGTACCACCCCGAGACCGACGGCCAAACGGAGCGGACGAATCAGACGATGGAGCAGTTGATTCGTGCCACGTGCGACGACCCCACGACCTGGGAGCAGCAGCTGCCGCTGATCGAGTTCGCGTACAACAACGCCACATCAGCCACGACGCAGCAGTCCCCGTTCTACCTGAACTATGGGCAGAACCCCACAGTGCCCATGACTCCGAGTCCGGACAACCCAACGCCACGCGCACAACAATTCGCCGAAATCCTGCAAGCTGCCCGCGCCAGAGCCGCCGAAGCAATAAAAAAGGCCAACGTCATCGCTAAGCGCAACGCTGATCGCCACCGCCGCCCCGTCACGTATCAATCTGGAGATTACGTGCTACTCGACACGCAAAATCTGCGACTGCTCGACGTGCCAAAATTACGACCACGCTACTGTGGACCATTCCAAATCAGTCACATGATCACACCCGTCACCGCACACCTACTGTTGCCAACCGACTGGTACATCAGCCCTTCGTTCCACGTCAGCCTACTTCGCCCATACATCCCGACCACAAGTCAACTGCCGCGTCACCGGCCACAATCAATGACTCGCCCTGCATCAGAGCCGATCATCGAGCCCG